GCTGGGCCTCCACGGAATTTATGATTGGTATATAAATGGCAGCCAGATTATCAAGGCCAGGTACTCTGTGAAGCACCCACAATTCACGAACGCTATAAATGGTAACGACCTCATGCTCATCAAGTTGAACAGACCAGTTGTGGAATCAGATACCATCCGGACAATCCCCATTGCATCCAAATGTCCAACTCCTGAAACCAGTTGCCAGGTCTCTGGTTGGGGTCAGCTATTGAAAGGTGAGTTTTGTTGTTCCTGTCTCTGGCCTCGTTGATACCTGTGGTGTCTCTGCGCGGGAGTGTTTCTGACCCTGTGTCCTTTCCTTCAGGCTACTACCCTTTGGATCTGCAATGTGCGATTATTCCTGTGGTTGCGGAGATGTACTGCAGACTCAAGTTTCACAGATACTACCATGGCACTATGTTCTGTGCTGGTGGTAAGAGCGGCAAGAACACTTGCTACGTAAGAGACTGGGACAGGGAGGCAGCGGTTTAGCATGGAGGTGGAATTTAAAACCCAAAAGGGCAGAAGGTCATGCAGGAATGAGAGAGACTCAGAGGGCTAAGGAGAGACAGAGGTGCAAGGAGAAAGAGAGATGGACCTGGGAAGTGAGAAGGAAACAAGGAGACACAGGGCAAGGCAGCCACAGAGACAGGCAGGGAGAGCCAGGGAGAAGTAAGCAATCAGCAGAGAGGTGCAGGGTCATGATGTTGAGAGGAGGGATGGAGAGATGCCCTGGAGGGACACCGGGAGGGTCTGGGGAGAAGCAACACGGCTGTAAGAACATACTGGTTGACCGCATTCAGGATTCCCAGCCCCACTGCCTCACACACCTTCGTCATCAACTGCAATTGGTCCAGACCCCACAAATTCCCACCCAGTCTCACCCTTCAATTCACTCTCAGCCAAGGCTGGAAAAGGAGATACAGGCTGGGATAGAACTCCTCAGGGGAACATTCCAAGGGGTGGAAGAGATAATTGGTGTTTGAGAGGCAAGACCGTTCCTGCCTGCCTACAAGCTACGGTTATGAGCTTGGCTTTTCAATGAACTGGGCCTGTGTATCTGTGTTTTCACTGTCTTGGGATCTCACCAGGGTTTCAGTTTGGCTCCACATCACCTCTGCCTCCTCTACCCCATGTGTCTCTGGGGCCTGCTGGCTCTGCCACTCCTCCTTGTGTCTTTAGCTCTCACTGCTGCCCTCCAGCTCTTGCAAAGTGTGTTTCTGCTCTGAGTCTCCCTTTGCCTTTTTGTCTTTATGTTTCTGGCCTCCTGTGTGTCTCCCTCCATCCTCCTCAACACCCGCCCTAACTTTCTCTTCTCTTCCCTCAACAGTTAGACTCTGGAGGCCCCCTGGTGTGCAAAGGGGTCCTGCAGGGCCTTGTGTCTATGGGAACCCGTCCCTGTGGCCTACCTGGAACTCCAGGCATCTACACCAATGTATGCAAATTTAAAAGGTGGATAAATGAAATCATACAGACCAGATAACCACAGATGATGTGGGGATGGAGTAGCCCACACTGCCTTCCAAACCTGTCCCTAGGATTCATCTGTCTTAAACAGCTGTTGGACTTAACTGTATCTGCTTTACAAATATATTGAGATGAAATATGCCTCATTTCTTGTGGAATTTTATTAAGACTGAAAGTGGAGTTTTCAAGTGTGTAATGGTGTTACTGACTTTAAGATTTTATGACATCCTTGTGTTCCTGGGACATCTGCTACATGGAAGAGATACCAGTGTACTTGCCCCTCATTACCATGATGAACAGCTGCCCAAGAGAGTGTTCTGTGGCAGAAGCTGTGGAATTCAGAATGACCTCAGTGACTGTTCAGGGACCAGAGCAGATAGAACATACACTTCTCACTCCCATACTCACCTGAATCACTGAGAATCTGGAGTTGAACAAGTGGCAGGTAGTTATAGTGGTTGAGGAAGCTGAAGGTAACATGAGGTAGACATGACCTGCAGGTATAGGCTGTGTCAGATCACAGGAATGGAGGTGTGAGGAACAGAAGGAGAGACAGGGCAAGTGGTGCTAGAGGGAGCAGAACTGATGGCAAAGTAGAACCAAAAGCTTGAAAGAATTAGAACTGTCCTCACAGAGGTGTGCTAGGGATGCACAAGCAGATCAGGGACATGCAGTATGCAAAGGAACCATTAGAGGATAGTGAATAGAAAAATAAATCCCAAAATGTTACTTTTAAAAAATACAATGATTTAAAACAGAAAGACACAGCTAAAATATTAACTACTGGGGTGATGATAAATGAGAGCTAGTAAATAATACAGAGGAGATGGCGAAGCAAATGAGGGTCAAGGGAGAAAAAGAGAAAGAAGGTGAAAAATTACACACACACACACACAGACACAGACACACGTGTGCCAACTCCAGAAATCAAATGCAATTATTTCCTTTGCAAACATATACCAATAAAAACTTAGTGAGGTGGAAACGTGGTTGGAAAAGAAAAAGATGTCAAAATCCTAAAGCTATGCAAAATAAAAAATGTAACATCTCCTGACACGAATGAATACACAATTGGCCGGGAAAATAGAGAAGTAGTGGAAACGCCTGCCTGTCAACAGCAAGATACTGAGTTCGATTCCTGATACCAAGAAAAACTCCCAAATGAATACAGATTAGAATGGCACACATTCACACATACCCAGGTATTCATACACATGCATGTGCACACTCACACATCAACCTGTGCAATGTCAAAAAGCAGAATCCACATGCTTGGCTGCGGGAAATGGAGCTGGGGAATCATGGTGGTCTTGCGTTGTACAAGGGAAGAGAATACATTTGGAGTACCTGTTGCAAACAATGCCCATACTTTCCTTTCTTCTCTCTTTGCTCCCCAGAAAGCCACAGAGCAAGAGGAGCTGTGTGACAGGTGCTCATTCCTGGGAATGTGGGGACAGACATGTGAGACAAAATGATCAACAACAGGTTGGAGAGGAAGGCAGGAGGATCATTCCAACCACTTTTGAAAAGTGCAACCCAAGGAGGGAGTAGGGGAACC